CCTCGCCAGGCTTGTCCTAGTTGTGAATGCGGAAGCCCTCAAAAAGGTATCAGGTTTAGGGTTTAGGGTTCCAGGGAAGCCCTAAAGGGGTTTTTAGGGTTTTGGGTTCAAGGTTTAGGTTTATTGGTTTGGGGTTTAAGGTTTAGGAAACTTCGCCGAGGCATCATGTTCTACCACAATGCTTTGCAGATCAAGGACTCCCGCAGACTCTGACGAGAAGCCTCCGACCCAAACACCCTCGGGAAGTTTGGCGAGTAAGGTCCTCTAAGGTTTCGGGGTTTTGGGGTCCAGGGTTCAGGGGGTTTACAGGCTCTGACAGTATGAGGGCTTAGGTTTAGGGTTTGGGTCAAAAAACGTCTTTGTTTCGAGCCCCTCCCCTACATGCAGTCATCGCCGCACTCTGATGCCTGAAAGCTGAAAGCCGAGATCTAGGTTTGGTTTGGCAGCCTCTCTCTTTGGGTTTTACAGAGTTTGCTCCAGAGGTTCAAGGAAGATCGAAAAAAGAGCCCTTCCTGATCTCTAGGAGAACAGCGAGGGGGAAGAGTCTCTCTTTAGCGCCTTGGATTTATTGCGGCGACGACGTGCATGGTGTGTTTGCTGAGAGCCACGACGGTGGTGAGATGACAACAACGGTGGTATGATGCTGGCTTTCAAGATGGCCATGATCAGCATAACTGTCATGCAGCTCGTCGGACGGGGCCTCGTTCTGGACATGATCGTGCGGTCGAGTCTATGGATAAGAACTGGGGACGACGAGCCCTAAATCCTAAACCCTACACCCTGGGCGTTGTTGGTCGTGTTCGTCGTCGTGTTCTTCTAATGTTGGTTGTGGTAGCTTTTCTTAAGCGAGTGTTATCATTGTCGTGACATTTATTATCATTTCTCGTCGTGGCAGCAGCAACACTAGTACCATCCTTCTCTTTGTCGGGTTACCTTAGCCATCACGGACATCGGTCTGTCCTCGGATTGCGTGAGATCTTTCCATTCGGCATCTGCTCGACATGGCACAATACATCATGAGTCTCAACAGGAGTTGAGTGGAGGCGTCTCCCGTGCTGTGCCCTAGAACTGTCGGGGCCTTCGAAAGATAGTCAGCAGCCAGGGTGCACACCCGGGGTGAAATAATTCCGGCACCCTTCTTGGCCAGTCTCCCGTCAACACCCCGACGAAAGTGTAAGGCAATGTATAGCACAGGTGGAGACTCGGACTTCCGCAAACTCTCCATCACCCTGATCGTCACGTGGTTCCCTTTCCCGCGGCTTGGTGACAAGCGACACAAGCTTCGGGTTTCGAACTTGTGCGCACCGTCGATCCTTGAGCTAGACCATGATAGGATAGTGATGAAAGTCTCCAATCTGCAGTGCTCGCACGGCATTCTGGTAGTAGGATCTCTCTACATCTTCACCTCGACTCCCACAAGCTTGCAGCTTGGAAGCTCCCATCTACACAGAGACATACAAAGATATCAGATCGCTCCCTGAATATGGATGCCCTTCGCACGCTTTGACATTTTTTTCAATTGGGAAACTTGGTCCTGAACCATTGAGCCCTAAAGTTTAGGGTTTAAGACTTCAGGGTTCAGGGTTTAGGGCCTAAACCCTGAACCCTGATCCCAAAACCCCAAACCCTAAACGAAACTTGGTCCGGCAGTAGCCAAGCAGAGCTCAAGTTCGAGATAGAGCATTTGCACGGGCTTTCCACATTAGGGTTGGGGTTTAGGGTTTATCGTTTCTTGTGGCTTTAGGGTTCAGGGTTTAGGGTTTACAGCCAGTTGCAAAAAGGGTTTACAGGGTTTGGCGATTGCACAAGTCCTGATGCAAAATGGTCCTATCGTGTCGCAATCTCGACCGAAGCCCCAAACGCCAACGGCTTACCCGACGCCGGAGCAAACGGCTCGACGAAGTCTAATTCACCTTCAGCGCGGCGCAAGCGTCGTGCGTTGCTTTTGTTAATGGAGTCCCTTCTACTTCTTATGTCAAAGAACCTCATCGGGCCAAGCGTGGCTGCGAGAGCACACGCCCCAAACCGTACCTGCCACCAACTACAGAAATGCTGTTTGGGGCTCTGATTAAGGAACCCCTAAACAACTAAACCAAAAGCCCTGAACCCTGAAGCCTGAAACCCCCCGCCAAAAAAAGTGGGTCCGCGTCGGTGAAACGGTAGGTTCCTGCTCTAGAGCTCCCTCCAAACCGTAAAACATCTGTCTCTGAAACTGTGGTTCCAAAGGATTCTATCAGATTTATATCCTAAGGGTTCAAGAAGGTCCTTGGTATTGTGAGCAAGGGTTCTACGAGTGTTTTATACGGCTTGGAGAAGGGCTCAGGCTTTGGTGGATAGGGTCCGAACTCGAAGTGGCAAAGCCAAGCCCCAACGTCTTAGGCTTTAGGCTTTAGAGCCTCGCGGCCGTTGCAAAAGGGCCTCGCATTGTGGGTTCAGGGTTTGCATGTGATCCTTAATGTCCTGAAGAGTCATATGCCATTGTGGGTATCATCCTAGCAATGCGGCAGGGAAACAATCCCAAACCCTACACGCTAAATCCTTCAGTCCTTCACCCTGAGGCTCTAGGGTTAACCCTAAACCCTAGACCCTAAACCCTAAACCCTAGACCCTAAACCCTAAACCCTAGACCCTGTGAGTGCCACAAACCGTGGAATCCCTCGGAGCCAAAATCTCGAAACCCCACATCCTCGAGCTAAACCTTAACCTAAACCCTAATAAATATAGGGCCCTTAATGGTTACCTATATTATTTTGGGGGTTCCTTATATTATAACTATAGCAAAATACACCCCCCCCCCCCCAAAGCCCTAGTCGAATTATCAAGGCCCCTGTATGAAACCCTAAACCTCGAAGCCTTAAGCTCTCTATAGGCTGTGGTTCAGCTTGAGTGTGGAGGGCTTCGGGCTCATCACGGACGGCTTTATCATTGAGACCCTGGTCCGCAACCCTTGGGCAAGTTTGAGTTACCAGGTGCGGAAAGGATTTTCTTGCTAGATCTGCTAGATATTGCCAGGGCGTAAGCTTCCCTTGTAAGGAGATCAGGCTAAGTACTAGATATTCTTTATCATGGCAACCTGGGTTAAGTTGCTTAGCCGAACACTTTCTGAACCACCGGTATAACCCTTATAAACACCCAAGGAAGCCTTGGTTATACCTTTTTGGACAAAACTCTGTAAAGCGCTAGACACCAAAATATACGCCTCGGAGCGACCCTTGCGAAACCGAGTGTAAACAAAGAACCTGTTGCAGATATGAAGAGCCAGTAGACCCTTTGGCAACCAGGACCTGCAAGTCTTAGATCTTGCGTGCTGCGGGATGTTTCTGAGGCCCACTAGGTCGATTTTATGCGTGTTTTTGCTTCATCAGGGTTGTATGAGGTTGTGTTAATGAGGGTTCGGTCTTATAAGGGTCCTCTAAAGGTGCTGTTACTGCTAGGGTTTAGAGTTCGGGGGTATAGTATAGTGGCGTGTAGCGTGTCTGAAGATTCCCTGAGTTGTTTACCGCAAAGATTCCCAAAACCTTTTCCTAATCCTGACTGCCCCTACCGTGCACTAGGTGAGACGGGTCTCTTCTACAATTTTTGGTTAACGATACCCTAAACCCTAAACCCCAAACCCTAAACCCTAAACCCCAAACCCTAAACCCCAAACCCTAAACCCTAAACCCTACTACGTATTGCTTGTAACGAACACGTCCATCTGCCTCTCTCACCGGATCGATCTTCCGCGGGTTGACAGGGACCCATAGCTCTGCGCGAGCGTCTCGGAAGCCCCGGATAGCACGGGTCAGTAAAGGGTCTGAATAGTTTGTCTCTTATACGGAAATTATCAAGGCCCCCCCAAAACCCCATTTTGATGCTTTAAGGCCAGTACATCAGGGGAAGCCGCACATGCCCTGACCGGAGCAGTTCGTGATTGAATAAAGCTCCTGTGGGCTCAAGCAGAAAGCTCGTCCAGGATTTCCCACGGAGTGCAATCTTCCAAGGCCATGTCGAAGCCTGTAAAGCTTGAGGAGGACTTGCTAAATCTTAGGGATCCATTTGCTTTTTGTGATTCGGGTTGCCTAATCTCACTCAAGGATTTTCTAAGACGGGCCAAAGAGGAGTCGGTGGCCACGACCTCGCCGGAGTCGGCGGCAGACGTCGAGCACACAGCCACCACCTATGTGAGCAGCTTGGAGCACACAGGCGACGGACGCACCTTGAAGAAAGCCAATTCGTACCTTTCTCAGTGCACGACGCTCACTGCCGGCATGAGCCACTTGAGCCACGAGGGTGTCAGTGTGGTCTCAGAGTCGCAGGGATCAGTTCCTGACCTCCATGCCACTGGGTCAGTCTTTTGAGATTTTGTGGCTCGGGCTTCCTAAGCTACTGTAAAGCGGAGCCCATGAGAAAGATGCTTTTCACTTTCCTTCCCCTAGTAGTAGGGTAGGTAACCTTTAACCTTTTTGGGGTAGTACAATCCCTATATAACCCCTATATAACCCCAAAGGTTAACCTTTAGTTCCCCATGATACCCGACAAGTAAGTTCCTAACAGCGATTCAGGCCATCAAGCCCGATCTTGAGAACGCTGCCAGGGTGGAGCCCTGTGGCGAAGTGATCAGTATCTGGACGCGTCGCACCATCGGGATTGTCATAAATGGCTTCGTTCTGGCCTTCCTGAGCGCCACATGCACCGGGGTTACATACGGTTTCTTCCTTGGCTATATGGGCTTGGACTCCTATGTGATGTCCTCCATTACAGCACTTATGAAGCTTCCAGACGTGTTGCTTCTTCCGTATGGCGTGATATCCGACTGTTTCCCCATCTGCGGCTAGGTGGCAATTGGGAAATGCGAGTGACAGCTGGATCCACCAGTCAGTTGTGGTTGCCCCAATTGCTCACCCCCACTGGTCGTCCGAAGGAAAAAAACCCCCATACACTCGCTGCAGACTGAAGTTGGGCACCCGCGTCACTATTCCCATGCGCTCCCCTCATGCAGCAAGGAACAAAAGTGTGGATCAACATTTGCCCACTTCCTACAAAGACCCGTGTTTTCTCTGGTAGACGTGGTCTTCGGCAGGCACGCCGAAGAAGAGCTTCTGGGGCCCCCCGCGACGACCAGCCCTAAATCAGTCTCACCCCAAGCCCTAGACTCTAAGCCGTATTTCCTAAGATCCTTGACAACACTAGACTTGTGAGTGGAGGGCCCTAGAAGCGTTGGGATAGTCTGAAAGAATTACTTCTGTGAGTTTTCTGTGAGCGAGAGTGTAAGCGGAAGTGCGAGGTTGAGTGTGAGCGGAAGTGGTCAGAGCTCGGGGGGAAAGTGCGAACGCAAGGGCATTAGATTTTATAAGACGTATCTGGTGAGTCTCCGAAGGCCCTGCCCTCCGCACTCCCCTCCCCTCCCTTCCCTTTCCCTTCCCCTCCCCTCCTCACCTCCCGGCCGCTCACGCTCCCCGGCTCCCGCTCACGTGTTCGGGTCCCACTCACATTACCGCCCACATTTTTCTCACATTTGTTGGCTGTGGCTGTGTTTTACAGCAGAAGAGTGTGAGCAGAGGTGTGTGCGGGAGTGTAAGAAAAGTGTGAGCGGAGGGTGAGCGGGACCGGCATCTCCCGCCCTCCCTCCCTCCCCTCCCCTCCC